GGCGGGATCTCCCCCGGGCCCCGTCCGCCCCGCCCGTAGGCCTTCCTCGCCCAACCTACCCCCTCCTGGCGGTGCTGGCCCTTCGGGCGAGGGCCCCCCCGGGGCCGCGCGCGCGGGAACACCTTTCTCGGCGCTGACCAGCGTGGCGCGCGCCTGGCCCCCGAGCGCCGCCTGCTGGGGCTGCTGAGGCGCTACCTGCGCGGGGAGGAGGCGCGGCTGCGGGACCTGACCAGGTGAGGGGCCCGAGTGGGGGAGACTGAGTCAGAGGCCGGGACTGAGACGCTGTGCTCCAGGCTGGGGGTGGCGCTGAGACTCATTGCCACCCTGCGTGGGACTTCAGACCCAGCGTCACGCCCACCGTGAGACTGAGACGCGGGGGGTGTGACTCCCCAGATGCATTGTCACCCTGTGCGCGACCCCAGGCGAGACAGTGTGGCGTGGGGTGATGGGGAACTGAGGCTGAGGGTGACCCCAGAGACACGGTGTCACACAGTGTGGCCTCACACAGAGACAGATGTGGGAAGGTGTGGCCGAGTGCCTCTGAGGCCAGGTAGGACCTCACAGGACAGTGTCCAAGGTGTGGGCCCCCAGGCTCGGTGTCACAGAGATGCCCAGACGCTAGCAGAGGGCCATGGGGAGGAGACTGTGTGTTGCTGTAGCCATACGTGTGTTGACCACGTGACTGGGTCATTGGTGTTTGTTATGAGTCAGGTGACATTCTGTGACCACGTGGGAGACGCTCATGTCATTGGAACTAGATGCACATGGCACTATGGATACCATCCCCGTGGGAGAGATGCAGAGTATGTACTAGTGATTGTGCAAGTCACTATGTGAATGTGCTTCACTTTCATCAATGTATTCAACACGTGTGTTTGAGTGCAAGCACTGTTCCAGACCCTGGGGATAAACAAGACCCAAGACTCAAGGAGCTTGGAGTCTGTAGCATCAGGATTGTGAGTCAGAGATGCCCACGTGTCCTTTGCTTTCAGCTCTCCCTTCTCTTCACCCCAGGAAGAGCTCTCTAAATTCTAAATAAATGATAACTGAGGTGTTATATGTGTATGAAAGTGTATGACACCAAGAAAATACTGGGTACACAGACAATAGGGTGGTGAAGGCCTGGGGCCGGGGGGTGGGAGGGCGGGGGCAGGCGGGGGCTAGAAGGAGTCAATGGGGGGGGGGAAAAGGAACATATGTAATGCTTTCAACAATAAAGTTTTAAAAAACTGGGTAAAACCATTCTTGATGCTAGAGCAGCGGTTCTCAACCTGTGGGTCACGACCCCTTTGGGGGTTGAACGACCCTTTCACAGGGGTCGCCTAAGATCATCGGAAAACACGTATATAATTACATGTTGTTTTTGTGATTAATCACTATGCTTTAATTATGTTCAATTTGTAACAATGAAATTGGGGGTCACCACAACATGAGGAACTGTATTAAAGGGTCGTGGCATGAGGAAGGTTGAGAACCACTGTGCTAGAGGATGCTGGGTATAGCACACACAAGCAGATACTCAGCCAATATTGTTTTGCTATACAATCAACAAGCGCTAATGCTACACACCATGGGATAAAACGCTGTAGACTTGGAACACTGGGGCACCGTCATCACATACTGACTCTGTCAGTGTCAAGCTATGAAAGATCAATGATTGTGTCTGACACCACATGTGTGAGCATGTGCTGTGCCTTCTCTGCTTGGGACATGGAGAAGCCCGCAGTGTGAGAAACGGTGGTGTAAACACATTGTTATCTGAATATATTAATACTGTGCTTCTGTGATGGGCCCCTCTGCTGAGCTGAGACAACAGAAGGCTGTCTGAAATGTACTGCTTATAGAATTGTGAGTGGGTGTTTGTGATGGTAATACCCATTCGGGGGCACATGGGAAGAAGGTGTGTGGGACACCAGGGCTGTGTGGGAGAGAATCAATTTGTGTGTGGAAGTGTATGTGACAGACCTTGTTTGTTACTCAGTGGTGACCGAATGATGATGTAATTTGGAACGTGCTCTTAAGTGAGTAGTTTGCATGTAAGCATTGATGCATGTTTAAATTCACTGTTAGTTTCAAATAGGCATGATACACACACATAAATAATGTATGTAAGTGTATATTAATAATAACAGAAATGATTATGATTTCCATAATTCTTGTCACTCTTTGGAGGAGCATAGTTGCCTAATGTTCTATAAGCCCACGTTTACAGAGCAAAATATTTTAATTTTGTTCTTAGCCTTGATCAGTGATTTTCAACTTTTTCATCTCATGGCACACATAAACTACTTCCTAAAATTCTGTGGCACACCAAAAATATATTTTTTTGCCAATCAGACAAAAAAATAGGTCTAATTTTGATTCATTCACACCAGATGGTTATTGTTGTGTTGTCTGTTGTCCTTTTTTAATTTGACAATCTAAAGGAAAGGAGGTCATTGACCCTGACTAGTCAGGTAGTGCATGTTTTAAACATTCTTGTGACACACCGGTTGAAAAGCGTTGGTCTAGATTCACTGAAGTCCAAGTTTATTGAGGGAAATAGCAGACTTGTTTGTCTTTGATTTCAGATCCCCACATGCTCCTGGCTACCCGTGTGCTTCTTCCCTTACACTAACCCCTCTTTTTGGTGGTCCTGCTGGAGATGAGGGTCAGGACTCTGACGCCCATGCCCAGCCTCTCAGGGAACAAGCTCAGAAGAGCGCCTGTCGATTAAAGCATCTGGGCAGGGCTTCCCTGTCTTATCACCACTGTCATTGTCAAAGTGGGAGGTTTTGCACAAACCTTCTCTCATTTAATTCTCTCTGACACGCAGTGCTTTGGAGGAGGTTTGTATTACTCTCTTAAACAAATGAGACATTTTTTAAACTATGAGAAAACCGAAGGACTTTATCCAAGATTATAAATGCAGTGGGTAGCAAATCCAGGACTAGAACACAGCTCTTTTGATTCTCCTCCCATCATGCTGTGCTGTTCTCCTGCTTGCTTATCTGATATGACAGGACCCAGACCTGAGGTTTATGAGCAGCCAGAGTACATAATGGTTAGGAGTCTGGATTCAGCAATTTAATAGACCTCTATTTGAATCCTTGGCTCTGACTTTGGGCGAGTTTCTTTACCTCTTTAAGCATTAGCTTTTTAATCGGTAAAATAATGGTAGTGAGAGTACCTACCCCCATCGGGTTGTTGGAGGGATTAAATACCATATAAAGGCATTTATCATTGTGCTTGGAATGTGATAATTGCTCAATAAATGTTAGGTCTTCACGATTGTTAAGACTGACTAGTGAAACTAGACCCCACGTTTGGCTTTAAACAGTAACTAGGACTGTGAGAGCTCAGATAATAAAAAAGAATCAGAAAAATTCTAGATTCTCTTCTCATGTGACTTACGGATATGTAATTTCAGAAAGTGTAATTTGATATTTTTGAGACTGTCTGTTCTCGAATCAGTGCTCTAAAACCTAGTGAAATGTTTGCTTTTTAAAGCAAGAATTTTGGCGGTTCCTGCTCATGTTCTTATACTCCCAATCTGGTGATTTCATGGACTTGAGATGTTATTTCTAAGGGCCTCAGTTGATATTCTTCTCTGAATTTTTAAATTTAAAAATGAAATTTTGGGCGGGGGGGTTGAAACTACTCTCTACCCACATTAATGAATAAAAATTATACTAGTTATAGTATATATTGTTATATACTAGTATAGTATATATTTGTTACATATATAAATATAATATAGATATATATAATTAAGCCCTAGCTCTTTTTATTGGTACAGTTTTTTAAAATCACCAAGATTGAAAGAGTAGGGCCAGCAGCAGTTATTTCTGTGCTAAGAATGAACCCTTCTGAATGTCTCAGAAGCACTGAAGCAAAGCCCTTTCTGAATTCTGAAGGAGAAACATATTGAATTAAAATAGCCCATGTATTGTGGTTGGATCATCTGTCCAGGCTCCGTCTAATGCAGGGATTGGGTTGCACATTTTATGTGCAAATTCTTGAAGGAAAGGATCTGCTTTTCCACTCTCAGCAGCATTTGCCATTTAGGAAACCGTGAGGTTTGAATTCAGCATCCAGTTACTCAGTCTCTGAAAACCAGCTATTTGCTCAGAGGCTGGGCATGGGGCCAACATTTAGATTCCAAACCAGCCTCGGATATTAGTGGATAGGGGTTTTTTCTCTCTGTAACAGAAAAGTGATGTATCTGAGCGCTGAACTGAATTATGTGCTGCAGGGAAGATCAGACCCCTGTGCTAAATAAACGGAGCCCGTCCTGCAAAGTGGGCTGCGAAGAGAAAAAGAGGTAGTGCTTTTGATCTGATTGATGGCTTGGGACAATCTTCACCTCACGGCCTTACCTCTTTCCTTTTGTGCCTCAGTTTCCTCTGTTGCCTGTTAGACATCAGTCCTCAAGCACCAGATGATGAATCTATTTATTCAGTTGCGGAAAAGGTGATGGAAAGAAATACTAGAACGGTCACGCTAGAAGAGAGACCTTCTAGACGAGACCAGCTCTGTCATTTTATAGAGGAAGAAACTGAAGGATAGTTGGAGGCTGGGTCAGGATAAGTCCAACCGTCTTATAAAATCATTGCCCGCTCAGCCTCAGTTGTTTCTGAACGCTTACTCTTCAGGTTGGACTCAAGCCCAAGTCTCTGCTGAGAAGTTTTTTCATTGAGCAATGGAATATCTTTCATTAAGTAGTTCCATATGGAGCTGATGCAGGAAATAATGGGTAATAAAAAAAACAAACCCACACCCTGAGACTGGTGTAGTTTCAAAACCCTAAGATAACCGCTCTCAAACAGCCCTGCTTGGGGACCAGAGACACCCTGATATTCGACAGGCTTCCCATTCCCTCCCTGGGGCACCCAGGTCCTGATTGGCTCCCTGGAAGCACCATAAAGCAAGTCATCTTCTATTTTCAAGCTCTGTTTGATAGTTGCAGGAACCACCCTTGAGAAGTCCTTAGGTCAGACTCTGCTGGAAGGTATGGAAATCCTCCCACCCAACCACCGTCTCTATTCTTCATCCCTTTCCGCTCATGGAAGTCCCCACTCTTGCCAAAGAGCTCCTATATTCTCACGTGCTCTTGTACACATTCACGTAAATCCATATCCTTTTCACTTTGATCACACTCTTTTCTTTTACTTCCTTTGTTGTTATCATATTTCTTGGAAATTAATCATTTTAAAGCAAGGGGGAAATTCTTTGAGGGCAGGACTAGAGCTCTTAAGTCTGCCTTTTAAAAATCTATACATTTCAACAGTATGAATCCCGCTGTTAGGAGTGGAATAACCATAGTAGACCAGAAAAGGAGACAGCATGTTTTGCTTACATGAACACTCCTGTAGGATATCTGAGGAGAGAAATTAACAAGAAAGATGGTCACTTCTGGCCCCACTCTTCTGTCCCTTCCTGCAAATGGAAGCATGCTGGAAAACATTACCTCTTCATTTCCCATTAGCCATCATCAGTGTCTACATGTCACTGTTTTTGTTCCGATTCTCCTGGTCTCTTGCTTGCAGTTTTGAAATGGCCTCCAAACTGGTCTTTCTGCCTCCAGTCACTTCCACTTCTGAACCCTCCTCCCCACCCTTTCACAGACTTTTATATGTCAACATATCCCACTCTCACTTAAAACTTTTTGGTGGCTCCTAGTTGCACTCAGGGTCAAAACCAAATTCCTCAGCAAGGCCTGTGAGGTGCTCCTCACTTCTCCCATCTGATCTTCCCAACTCCCAGTGCCCCCTGTGCTCCAGCACTACTAACTGCTTGTAAGTCCCCTGCTGTCTGTCTCTCTGTACCTTTGCATCCTCGGGACTGCCTCTGCCTACGGGAAGGAGGCTTCCTCCTCCCTTCCTCATGTTTGCATTCCCCCATCAATCTCGGTTTATTACCTCCTTTGTGAAAGGAGAGATGATCTTCTCTGACCTGCTCTGGCCAAATCAATCACTCCCTTCTATACTCCCCCTAAGCCTTGTTCAGAAGTCTGGTGTTGCATCTGTCATGTCATTATTTGTGTCTATATTACCCACTAGACCAGTGGTTCTCAACCTTCCTAATGCCGCGACCCTTTAATACAGTTCCTCATGTTGTGGTGACCCCCAACCATAAAATTATTTTCATTGCTACTTCATAACTGTAATTTTGCTACTGTTATGAATCGTAATGTAAATATCTGATATGCAGGATGTATTTAGGCGACCCCTGTGAAAGGGTGGTTCGACCCCCAAAGGGGTCGCGACCCACAGGTTGAGAACCGCTGCACTAGACTGTGAGTCTCTGAGAACCAAGGTTACTGTCTTATTCACAATTTTGTTCTTAACTCCTAGAATAATATAGTATTTCATTCATTCTTTCATAGAAGTATGTATTGAACTTAGGCATAGAGAGATGAGTATTTTCTTAGGCACAGAGTATTTTCTTGTCTATGAAATCCTTGAGCATGGGCCCCTGTCTTGTCCAACTTCTGGCATGGAGTCTGACAAGTAACCAGTATAGACTGACTTGTTGAATGAACAAATACATGTCAAACCTCTATGCCTTTGTGCACATTAGTCCCTGTTGGATCAAAAGACACTCTTCCTCCCTTCTTTGTTCTAGATCCATGGACACACTATGGCACAGTCAACTGAAAACAGGCTTCAGAGTCGGCAGGCTTGGGTTCATTCTTGGTTTTGTTGCTAATAGTATGGCCTTGTTTCTTCTCCTGTAAAATGGGCATGATCAAATCTATTCTGAGGGTTGTTGGGGGATTAAATGAGACTGTATTTAAAGCACTTAGCAGAATGCCTAATACATGGTGAGGACTCAATAAGTACTAGCTATCCATATTGTAGTCCTTCAGGCTGGGAGGATTGCCATCCCCTCTGGGAAGTCTTTCTTATATTTATTTCTCCTTTTTAAATTTTTTATTTATAGATTTTGAGGGAGAGAGAAAGAGAAACATGGATTTGTTGTTTCACTTGTTTATGTATTCATTGATTGCTTCTTGTATGTGCCCTGACTGCGGACCAAACCCACAGCCTTGGCGTATTAGGACAATGCTCTAGTCAACTGAGCTACCCAGCCAGGGCTCTTTCCTTATATTTCTAACTCCCATCTGGGTTAGGTGTCCTGCCTACATATACTATAGCGTTCCATAGCATGATATGCTCACTTCACTTTTCCAATAGCATGTATCACAATTATTGCAATTAATTGAACAATGTGTTCGCATTTCTACCAGATTCTAAGTATTGAATATAGAATGGTGAGAGAAAAAAAAAGATTTTTTGGATTGTGAACTCCTTGAGAGCTGGACTCTGTCTTGCCTTTGTATCTCTAGCCCCTAGCATGATGCCTGATGTACAATAATTGACTGGTAGAGACTGACTCATTGAATGAACAAATGAAGAGACCTACTTTTGTTGTGATGGTAGTTTTTTGTTGTTGTTGTTGTTTTTGCTTATTGGTTACAATATTCCATGAGTCTCAAGGGATTCAGCATTTCATTTTTAACTACTCTCAATGTTTATGCAGCATGCCAGCCTTTCCTAGGTGTCTGGTTGCATCGGTAGGTGAGATCATCCCAGTCCTCTCTTGCAGGTTCTATCACAAGGTGCTTTCTTTGCATGAGGATTCAGCAACCCCTGTGTCTAACCCTCTGCTTGCATTTACTCTCATCAAACGCCTACAGTCTGACTGGAGGAATGTGGTACATAGTCTGGAGGCGAGTGAGAACACCCGAGGTAATGAGGAGGAGGGCTGGAGGGTAAAGAGAAGATTCTATCTCCTGACTCAGTGGACAGGAGAGAGATTCTGATGGGATGTGATGAAGGGCAATGAAGTGGGTAGGTATTACTTGATCTCCTTAGCTCTAATTATCACAAAGAACTAGGTCCCCTTGTTAATAAGTTTATATAATTTTACATTAGAAAGCACCTTCATATCCATTATCTCACTTGATTTTGGATCGAATCCAAAATATCATCCCATTTATCTTTATGTAAAAAGTGATGTCTTCTAATAATTTCTGTTTTACTAAGTTGCCACTACAGTGTGATCTGTTGCAGGATCACTTTCTTAATTTACTCCGCTTTGTATTTGAACAAGTTTGTTGACTTTAGGGAAGTTAACAGGGAAAGTAATTGTCCCTGCAAAGGGCAAGACTCCTGGAGACAGATAGGAGGGAACAGTGTGATAAAGGGGTGTGCCTTAGTTTTTACTCTAAAGCCTTTATTCCTTATTCAGAAGATTGTATTAAGCATCACTCTGTGCCAGGAATGGTGCTTGCCACTGAGAGGAAAAGCAAATCAAGTATCATTTTTTATTCTTGAAATATGTGAACAGGTAATTATGCCTTGCATGTATGAAATGCTCACCGCCTGCTTTTTGAATGGAGGATTGTTTTCACGACCTTTCCAGCTCTGAAGGATGGCTTCGAGAAGGTGGAGCAGGACCTGCCAGCCTTCGAGGACCTTGAGGGGAGCAGCCAGGGCCCCTGATGCGGCTGCAGGACGTGTACATGCTCAATGTGAAGGGGCCTCGCCCGAGGCGTCTTTCAGAGAGGCCACTGGGCTCCCGCGGTCACTGACCCTGTACAGACCCAGGCCGCCTTTTTTCCCCCTCCACGGCAGATGAACTGCTTCCAAGTTGGAAAGGGTAACGGATTTTTCAGAAGAGAGGGTGCAATGGCTGGGGGGCCAACTTTCTTTTGGATGAAATCATTATATCCCCGGGTTGCCTTTTTTACATTTTTTCTAATTCTGGACAGCCAAACTTTGGAAATTTTCAAGGTGAAGAAACCTGAGGTTCAGAGAAGGGTGTAGCACTTACCCTAAGGTTTCACAATTTTAAGTAGGACTAAAATTTGACCCCGGGTCTTTTAACTCCCAAATCCCAGGCTCTTTTCATGATAGCTAAAGTGACCATCTACTGAGGACACTATTGGGAGTGAAAGGGGTGTTATTAGCCAGGACAACAAACGTACACTGGGACTGTCCTGGGGAAAGTGGTCCTTTGGTCACCCTAGCTCAGCGGTCGGCAAACTCATCAGTCAACAGAGCCAAATACCAACAGTACAATGATTGAAATTTCTTTTGAGAGCCAAATTTTTTAAACTTAAACTATATAGGTAGGTACATTGTTATGAACTTAATTAGGGTACTCCTAAGGCTTAGGAAGAGCCACACTCAAGGGGCCAAAGAGCCGCATGTGGCTCGCGAGCTGCAGTTTGCCGACCACGGACCTAGCTATTGCACCCTGACTGAGGATGAACAGCTGGGGGGAAAGGAGAAGCAGAGTTAAGGGGGCGGGGGAAGGGATAGGAGATGGTGATGTGGAGGGAAGATCATGGACAGTCGGCCTGCTGAGACTCTCTGGAATCTCTTGTACGTTTCCTGGGGATTTAGAAATACTAGATTAAAGTGGTGTCACAAAACAGGCCGTTCACTCTAACGTTACTGGAGGAAATAGACTTCAGGAAGCTCCCATATGAGATATTTAACTGATCTTTGATCATAAGTCATAAGCACACTTGAGGTCATTTTACAACATACTCTTTGTGTGCTGTTGCTTTAAGAAGTAATGGAGTCTGACAAAGGAGGCAAGAACATACAATGGAGTCAAGACAGTCTCTTCAATAAATGGTGTTGGGAAAATTGGACAGATACATGCAAGAAAATGAAACTAGACCACCAACTTACACCATACACAAAAATAAACTCAAAATGGATAAAGGACTTAAATGTAAGACGGGAAACCATAAAAATACTAGAGGAATCCAAAGGCAACAAAATCTCAGACGTATGCCGAAGCAATTTCTTCACTGATACAGCTCCTAGGGCATTGGAGACCCTGAATGGAATTAGAGCTGAATCATCAGGTTCCTGGCTAATTTCAGTTTACGCCTGTTAAAATAGTTCCATGTCAATATATGCTTCATTGGTGAGGCCTTTCTTAGTCTGAAACCATATGTTGAAAATTTAGTAAGTCACTTCCTGAAAGTCTCCCTGGCAGTCTTTATTTCGGTGTGTATTTACTTATTTTGAAAGATAAGACATTTCAAATATACCAAAAGTATGTAAAATAATACTGTAACAAGCAATTCTATCTATCATTGAGATGAGATATACGTTCAAATTTTGTTATATTTGTTTCAGATTTTTTTTCAAGTCTTTACAAAATAATTTACATAGAGCTAAATAAAGCCTCACTCCTTTTCCTTCTCACCACCCACCACCCTTTCTACTCCACCTTCCCCAGGTACCAGGTAAACGTTGTCCTGAACCACAGAGTATGAGCTTTTCTAAGTCCAGCTCCTTTCTCTCAGCACATTATGTCTGTGAAGCTCTTTCATGTTGTTGCATTTATTAGTAGTTCAATCCTTTTTATTGCTTAGTAGTATTCACCCAGTTTCTTATTGATGGATACTTGGATTGTTTCCAGCATGGGCTGCTTTGAATGGAGCTGCTAGTAACATTCTTATGTAAGTCTTTCTGTGGATGTTTGTTTTCATAGCTCTTGGTTAAAAAACCTGGGAATGGTGTTGCTGGGTCAAAGAATAAACTTCAATAATTATTCACATGTGGCCAAGTGTATTTCATCTACATGTCTCCAAGTCCCTCCATCATTGTTTATTTTATTTATTGATTTTAAATACATTTTATTGATTTCAGAGAGGAAGACAGAGGGGGAGAGAGTTAGAAACATCAATGATGAGAGAGAATCATTGATCCGCTGCCTCCTGCACACACACACACACACACACACACACACACACACACACACACACACTACACACTGGGGATTGAGCTTGCAACCCAGGCACATGCCCTGGCCAGGAACTGAATTGTGACCTCCTGGTTCATAGGTTGACACTCAACCGCTGAGCCATGCTGGCTGGGCCATCATTGATTATTTTAAAGTGGATCACTCTATTTTCTGATTTCTTAATTGTCTAATTCCCCGACCCTACCTACTATTACGTCTGTTGATTCTTGTTCATGATCAGTTATTTCCTGATAGGATTTATTGTGCTTGATCGTGAGGTTATTTTTAGCAGGACTTTTTCCCCCCATAGAAGA